TCTTTCCCTCTTCCTCGAATTCGTTCGTGATTCCGATGCAAACCCTCCAACCCTATTCGATTTCTGAATTTAGAGCAATCGAAGATCCAGTCTGAGGATGATAAAGTCTGGTACTTTTTCTCTCCGAGGGTTACCAAATACTCGAACAGCAAAAGAGCCAACAGGAAGACGAAGAATGGGTATTGGAAGGTGACTGGACGAGATCGTTGCATCAAAGGGAAGAACCAGAAGGTGATCGGTACGAAGAAGACGCTGGTTTTCTACAAGGGTCGTGTTCCTAATGCCGCCAGGACTGCTTGGGTCATGCATGAATACCATAGCTCCGTTGTTCCTCCTGACAAGGTATGCCATAGATTCTTTCTTTTGGGAGTCAAATTAGTCAAACATTGCTGTTTTATGTGGTTATCAATTGGATGGAGTTCCTTTGGTTGATGATCTGGTTGAATTCGGTGGAGCATGGAAACTCCTGACTTATAGTGTGATAAAAGGCTAGATCTTTGTTGATTAGTGTGTTTGCATTCACCGGAAAAAATCAGTTTCTAGTGGTGGTGATGCGTATAACGGTATACGAAATTGTTGTGTTTGCTGAAATGGATTTGTCGGATTTCTATGCTGTTCGTAGAAAGAATTCATTTTGGATTGATGTTTCAGTGTTGAATTCTGTAGGGAGTCTATGTTCTTTGTAAGGTGAAAGATAAGTCAAACAATGATAATACCGTATCATCTGGTGGAGGAGCTGAACCTAGTCATCCTCTGCCTTGTAGTTCTGAGGATCATGTAACAACAGAAGAAACATCAGAGGTTGACAAAGTGGAAGGCTTTATGTTATTCTTTGGCTGGTTTATCTCTGTGATTAGTAGGAAGCCATGATTTATGATAATTTGCTGCACCCGTGGTTTTTTCTTTTTCAGACCATTGTCCTAGCAGAAGAAACTCCTAATTCTGTATGTGACTTTGGTGGACCTGACACTGATTTGGGTCTGTGGAGGGATGAGCTTGATGATGGAAGCTCATTGTCCTCAATGTTAATGACTAACTACAGCTTGAGTGACTATTCCCTGCTACCTGAGTATGACTCTCCTACAGTTCAATTAGAGGTAGCAGCCCGACCCATGTCTCAGTTTGCAAATTCAGTGTTGGCTAACCGCGATAACTGTTACTCTGAAACTGTCACTCTTCTTCTTAGTCAAATGAAGTCCAACTTGATCACCTAGTCGTCTCCTGGTGAGTTAGCATAGATTCTGAGACAGTCTCCTGGTGAGTTAAGGGTAAACTAATACTCTCCTTAGAGCTTTTGTTGGAGAGCATTCCTTCAACACAAAGTAGAACTTAGAATTCGACCTATAGGTGATATCATTACGCAATGTTGTAATGATATATTTACCAAGCATTAAAAATACTGATGTAGTCGGTCAAAGTTTAGTTACCCGATTGACATCTTGCACAGGGCGTCATAAGTCATAACTCATCGTGTTTTGTTCAAGTATCATTTAAGGCTAACTTGGCTGCCTTTACTTGTTCTAGCAGAATAATGAAGAAGTTTGGGGCTTCTCAGCTGATGATTTGGCCAGTTCCAGAGAGCATGGTCTTAATACATTCATGCATGAATCTCCAATATCTTTCGAATCTTTCTACCAATCTGATCTCATCAACATCTCTGAAGGAGAAATTTCTCCAGCACAAGGTAATTGTTTGCATCAGCAGGCACTGAGAATCTGAGGGCAGAAGATTCCAAGAAGTATTTTGGAATCTTCTAAATGGAAAATTACTACACAAGACGTAAAGTTATCTCAGCATCTACCATGGAAGAATCTTCTGCACAGCAAAATGGTTCAAATATCTCTATCACACAAAGCAGAAATGCAGGCATCAAGAAAATGAAGTCAGAGGATTTCAACAAGTGTAATGGAATATTAGTTCGTTTGTACAAACCAAGGAGACAAGGTCGGAAGATTTCGACTAGAGTAAAAGGAATATTATCAAGGAAATGGAGGTTAGAAGATTGCAAGAAGTGCAAATGTATGTTATTTTTTTTGCTACAGCAGACAACAAGAAACTGAAGTCAGGAGATTTCAGCAAGTTTAAAGGAATATTAGTCTTTTTGCTACAACAGACTTCAAGGAAATGAGGTCAGAAGATTTCAAGAAGTTTAAAGGAACATAAGTCTTTTGCTACAGCAGACAACAAGAAAATGAGGTCAGAAGATTTCATCATGTAAAGGAATCGATACAACAAACATCAAGGAAACGAAGACAAAAGAGTTACCACAAGTTTAAAAGAATATTATCAAGGAAGTGAGATCAGAAGATTTCACGAAGTGGAAAGGAGTATTAGTTAGTCTCTACAATAGACATCAAGGAAACAAGGTCAGAAGATTTCAACAAGTGTTAAAGGAATGTCATCGACGATATGAGGACAGAAGATTTCAAGAAGTATAAAGGAACGGTTTTTTTTCATCTGCTACAGCAGACAACAACAAAATGTGGTCAGAAGATCTCAACAAGTGTAAAAGAATATAGGTTTGTTGCTACAACAGACATCAAGGAAACGAGGAGAAAAGGTTTCAACAAGTGTAAAACAATGTTATCAAGGAAATGAGATTTAGAAGATGAAGAGTTGTAAAGGTATGTTAGTTTTTTTTTGCTACAACAGAACAAGAAAAAGAAAATGAGGTCAGAAGATTAAAGAAGTTCAAAGGAATATCAGAGTTTGAAGCCGCCAGCTACCGAGAAGTTGCCATCGATCAAGTAGCCGCCAACGCCGTGGTCGCCGCTGTCTAGAGGGCGGTATTATTAGAGTCTCACGTCTAACATATGTGGGAGAAATTGAGTCCATATAAAGCTATGGACACCCCCTCTCAACAAGATAGCTTTTGGAGTGGGTTCTATTCATGGGTTTTGGGATTTAGTTGGGCTCATTATCAGTCATTTAAGGATAGGATCTTGTCCTAATGATATGACTCTCATGTCAAATTTCGGCCACGCCCTTGCAAGAGAATGTAAGGACGGTTCTCTCGCCTAAGGTAATGTCTTTCTTCAATTGGAAATACTGAGAAACAGTTTGAATGTCAATTGTCAAACTATGGATCAATACGAAGCTCCTTCTACTTGTAGTGAATCTGAAAAAACACTCACTTGTTCGTTGCCCGTTTTCTTCATATGCAGAGTTCATGGAACTGTATGCAGAGGCTGAAGCTGAAACCTTACCCAGAATATCGGTATGTATGTTCTGAATCACCTTCTACTTTAAACCCATACACAACACAAATAACCAGAAAACTGTTCCTGTGATATTCTGCATTCAATTTCTACATAACTATCCATACGTCCTTACTCAAAAACTCACCCTGAAAAAAAAAACTGTTCCCTGGATTATTCTGTACTCATTTTGTTGCTAAAAAAAACTGATCCATACACCCTCCCTTTCTCGGGAAAATTTTACCCAGAAAACTCTACCTGGAAAAGTTTGCAACCTTTTCTTCCCAAAAGACTATCCGGGCAGAGATACTTATCCAAGAAAAAAGAAAACAAAATCCAGAAACAGTACAAGCATCCTTCCTTACTCAAGGAGAAAGCTTACCCAGATATTATGTAGCCATGTTTCTACAGTGGTATTGTGTCATGAAGTTTCTACCATAAAAAAGCTTATGGGGACATCCTTGATCAAAGAAAAGCTCATCTGGAAAATGCATCTTGAGTTGGGTTCTGTAACCATGTTCATTTGTTTTTGTTTAATGTAACTCCAGCATATGTGAGAGATGTTTAAAGACGTAACAAGTGTGGTGTCATTTTTTTTGGTCGTTAAATTTGGCTGCCACGTAATTTTTGGGAGTCTACGAGGACAATTTCGTCATTTAGAGACCTGGACAAATTAAGCGATCACGTTTGAAAAGCGACTACCAACGAGAACGCAGGCGCTAACAACGCCAGCGTTAGGCGTTTGAAACGGAAACGTAATCGTTAGTCATCAAGCTCTTTCCAGACCAAAAAGACACCAAACGCACAAGACACTAGGAACCCTAACGCCAACATTTGAATTCTGAAGCATATTGCAGCAGAGTCTTATTTTATTATTACTAATTATGTTTTCACACACCCGTATATGTATATGTACGTATATACGCATTTTTGTAGACATGATGCATCATAGGCTAAGCTTTGTTTATTTATTTGATCTAGATGGCTCTCTCTCCATTTTGAGACCTAACCCACCTGTTAAGTTAATTGAAAATGCCTTTTGTCGCATTTTTCAACAAAATGAAATAAAATTTAACATTATTATTTGAGTTGAAAGCAAAATAACATTTGAAACGTGTTGGCTAAGATTTCTAACACGAACTGGATGAGATGTTATACTGTCTGGTTCAAATATTACATATATATATATATATATATGCCTTAATCAACCAACCAAGGCATATAAGTTATATGAGGGGTGTATATATATGCAGGTTATATGCCTTGGTTGGTTGATTAAGGCATATATATATATATCAAGTTGCAAATTGACTGATCATTGATATACATGTCTAACTATGTCAAAATCAGGATAAGGTAACCTATAACAAGATGCCATTACCATATATACTAACCTTGACATGCAATTAAGTGTATACACACACACACACACATATATATATATATATATATATGTATATGCTATTAGAATATCTGCCAAGATGATGATAGCCCATGGATGGCTCAATGATGTATTAGAGATCTAATAATAAAAAACATCTCAAGTACATGAAGATTATATATTCATATCATAAGAGAGAAACAAGGATATATTTATATATATGTAATGGTGCGCGTGTGTTGTAGTGATCCAGACAAGAAGGCAGACTGTTAAAAGTGGAGACAAAAACACATAAATAACAGAACTGAGAACAAAAATGTTATAATAATTTATTAATTAATGAATCAGCAAAATATATGAAAACAGATCACACCTTTTCACCAATCTTTTAACCTTTTATTTCTAAATAAATATTTTTCATTATTTCTGCAATGTCGCCTGCAGCATAACTAATGAGCAGCAGCAGCAGCAGAAGAAGAAACCATAAAAAAACAAAAGAGACGAAGAAACAAATAAATGACATTTGCAAATTTTCACTTTTTCTAAGACGAACCCAAAATCTCTGCCATCCTCTCTGACCACAAAAGACATTACAATGAAATAGAGATATGGGTTTCACGCTGATCCCAATCCCAGTTCAGTCTGTACATAAACATTAAACCCACTCCTCCCCATCTTTCCCTTTTCAAAATCTGTTTCATAATATATATATATATACATATATATTGCAGAATCTAGGTTTTATAACCCATGATGTAAAAGCATTGATTCTGATTGAAGAGTTTACATTGAAAACTTTGAATTATCTGAAACGATGCGTGTGGATTCTTCTGGTAAGCGTTACAGTGTGTTCAAAGCTTTCCGAAAGTGTAATTATTTCTTGAAATCACCGTTAAAAATCGAATCTTTATGATGCATTCCGGTGTCATACACCGCCTCCGGTCTCTCTCTCTCTCTATATATGTATATGCGTATCTAATCAATCATATCTAAGATGATTTATATATGTATGTTGTGATTTTCACCGATGCAAATCGAGAGATAAGGAGGACTTTCCTTTCTTGGAGAAGTGATGATCATCAGCTGCTGCTGCTGCCACCATGGAAGACTCCTCGCTGCTCGCCAGCCTCAGCTGCAATGACGAGGAAGAAGAAGCAGTTCCCGCAGCGCCACGTGGTACGCTCCCACCGGAAGAAGAAGATTCTTCCTGGTCCATACAACTGTTGCAGTCCATGTCCACTCCGAACAGCCTTAGCCTCTTCCCCGCCGCCGCCACAATCGGCTGAGCTCTTGCGGTAACCACCGGCACCGAGTCGAACACCACCGTCTCAGCCGGATTCCTCTCCAGTGACCTAAGGTAGTATCCCCCCATGGAATCGCCATACCCATATCCCAAATCTCGCGGAAATCGATAATGGTGACGATTTTGATACGAAAGGTTGTAACTTTCGTGGCTAAAGTTCTGGAAATTCCCGTAATTTCTGGGGATGGAGACGACAGGTTGAGGGAAAGCGTAAAACCTAGGGAACATGGTTCCGGCGAAGTGGGCAATGGACGTGGGATCGGGGACTTTTGGTCGTTTCCTCCAATCGATGAACAGCATGTTCTTGCCGGTTTCTCCGACACCTCGATGGAAGGAGACGATGTCTCCGGCGTCGAGCTTCTTGTCCTTGACGAATCGGCTCCAACCCTTTGTCATGACGTAGCTCTGGCTGCTGTTCCAGTACGAGTACCTGAACCGCCATGATTTTCCTGTCCGATCTTCGAAGTTGAGGAGCAAGCCTTTCTCGTTGGAGGACGAGTCCAAGGGGAAGTGCCTCTCGGCGTGCTGCTTCGGGATCACGAGACGGTTCAGTTTCCCCACGTCGCTCGGCGTCACGACCTTATCGAACATGTGTTCCCTCTCGGTGTTGCCCGATGATGATCCTCCTAATAATTCCAATGCCTTTGCTTCTTCTTCTTCTCGATCTCCTTGTATTCTCGTTACCGATAAGCTCATCATGCTGTCGGGGAAGTTAATTTCAGATCTCTCTGTGCTGCTGCTGGTCATGTACTATATTTGGCCCTTTCGCATGAAATTCACGACGACCCACCTTTGGAATTTGATTTCTCGCCCACTTTCAGGAGTTTTCTATGTAATCAGATGAACAGAATCAGGTGCTCAACTCAGAAATCTGTCTCTCAAACACCGAAATTGAAAGATCTGAGGAACCGGGTTCGCCTGTTACTGTTGCATCTGTGCTTGGTGTTGATTTTTCTTGATCTTCACGGTCTCCAAGGAAATTAGCCGGAGATACGAACTCACCTTGCCGGGGAAAACGCCCGGAGGATCTCTTTATACACTCTCTCTCGCTCCCTCCTTGAAAGGAGCAAAAGAAGTGGGAAGAAAAACCCTAATTTCCTGGAGAAAAGAGAATCGAAGAAGAAGAAGAAACAGAAGAATGAGAAAGGGTTAAGGAGCTTTGCTTCTGTGATTGACCTAAAATGGATATAGAAAGTGGGTTTTGCCTAACTTAACTGATAAAATGTCTCTCTCCCCCCTCCTCTCTCTCTCTCTCTCTCTCTCGATGGCTCTCTCTCTCTCTCTCTCTCTCTCTCTCTCTCTCTCTCTCTCTCTCTCTCTCTCTCAGCTTTAATCAAGACAGTGGGTTTAGGAAGGATGGTTCAATTCATCCAAACATTTACACAAAAGCAAGACAGAAGATTCTGAAGAGATTAAAAGGAAGAAAGGGGGGAGAAAAGAGAGGAAGCTCATGTCATGTACATTGTCATAAGATTGATGTAGATATGGGCGCGAGGGAGAGGAGAGAGAGAGACTAATACGTAGGGGCCCATGAATCATCTGGTTCTGCTCATGTGAGCTTCTTGTCCTCTTTCCACCCTCCTCGTTTTCTTTTTCTTCATACATAAATATAATGTTACACTCACCCTTGCTGATTATGAGGTTTGGGGTGTTTTTGGTCCTCTCTTTACCAAAAATAAAAATAAATTCATAAGTGCCCTAAAATAATTTCAAGACTTTTGAAATAATGCTAATTATTGATGGGCTGCAAATTTGCTTTTTTTGTTAGGACCAATATGTTTCCATAGTTTTGGTATTTACCGTTGACTTTTTCATGCTTTAATTTTATCTAATTCGCTTCTATTTGTACGGTATATTGCATGTAATAATCCATGTGTTTTTTTACGCATAACCACTTGTAAGAGATTCCCTCGTTACATTAATTAATCACTTTTTTTTAACATTATGATCTTGCCATTTCGCAAATTAATTAATCCCATCTCATTAATTACTTCCTATTACGTGGTTCAATAGCCAAATACTGAACCGGTGCTATTTTTAGCCTTTTTATGTCGACAATTTTAGCAAAATATTGATAGTTAAGAGCCTAGCGATTTAGTCACTCTCACTTTTTGAAATAAGTAAACAATTACGGTGGCTGATAACCAATTAATTTTCGTCCTCCTAGCTATATTTATAGACTTACGTATCTGAAGATTTTTAGGGTTTATATATATGCCACGTCGACAATTTGCTGTTCTTGAAAAATACAGTGCTAAATGGGGGACCAAAATTCATCTGTGGTATGATTGTGAATATTTTGTTTGAATTTCAATTATGAAATTTATACGACATATCTAGTGGTGTAGTGCTTTTTCTTAATTATCTCGAATATTGTAAACACCGTTAATATCCACGCGACGAACAAATTAGAGTTTTGCAAAACCCATTGTACGTAAAAAAAAAAAAAATTAAAAAGAGGGTTTAAATGGAACAGTGAATATAACATTAAACAATGAAAAATATCATACCGTTTTTCCTCGTTCGTGGACCGACCAAAGCATTTATAGAGTTTTAGGGCTCAAGAGATATATATAGTTTTCATAATAAAACGAAAATCGATACGAATATACAGCGCATTTGTACTGACATGGAGCAACATATAATGTTGTTCTAGTGAATGGCGAGTAGCACATGAACCTCGCATTAAATTAAAACGCGTGTTGTTTCTTCTTATATATATATATATATGTTTTTAAATCTTATCATGTTTTATTTTACGTGTGGTCCTGATAGAGACCAAGCACCGCTCTCATCACGACTTCCTTACGCCTATTATATAATTAAACATGATTAACTCGAATTAATTAGACCTTAATACAGTGCTTTAAGTCTCATGTCTTGAGATTAAACAAAGATTACCGAAAAATAAAAACAGTTGGTGAGGAAGGAACAGCGATCGGCGTGGTCCAAAATCTCATCTCCTCAATTGTACATATATAATTGGTTGGCCACGGAACCTCCATGCTATACACATTGTTTTCTTCTGCTTGATTTTTACTAACAAATAGATTAAAATCTCTACCTCTTTTTATTAATTATATATATATATATCTTATATATGAATCCGCGTTATTTATTGGTTTATTCTTTTTAATAGTTAATTGTAGTGCTTGTAAACAATGTTTAGCTTTTGTATTAATTTTTTTTTGTATATATGTATGGATGTATGCATACGCGCCCACTTTGTTTTGTTTTGTTTCAAGATATATAATGTATCTTCTGGATTTTTGCCAGATAATAAGATCCCATTGGAGTGAAACAAACATGCGGAATTGATTCTTATATTTCAACTGATGTTGAGGGGAAATTTTTGTTGAGCCTATATTTGATAACACGCGAAGAAGATCAATAACTATATATATATATATATATATATATATATGTGTGTGTGTGTGTGTGTGTGTGTATACGTATGATTATTGATTTTGATGAGCATCTTAACGTTAATCACCAATGCGACTGTTATATATGATCCATGCCGGGCAAAAAGAAAAACGGAGCTCCGATCACGTCATGGAAAAATTTGATAGCCGTCATTAATTAAAACAAAGATAACATGAATAATTAAGAGCATATTTTTTTTTTTTTTATAGTCGAGCATGCATATGCAATAATGGGATTAGTATATTATAGATTTTATTTAATTAAGACTTGTGGATTAATTAAATAGACGAATTATGAATAATGAAAGATTGGGAAAGTGGGGATATGTATAATGTGAGGTAGGTATACATAGGTTTAGAGTAAGGACCACATAACAACAAAGGCTTTTATAATTTGCATACTTGGCATTGGCTCTTCCTAAACCCTCTACATCCCCTAGAGTATTTGCATCTAATGACTCCCCCTATTGAAATGATACTACATAAACATATTTTCCTCCTCCAAATTTGTCTATTATAGAAGTTAATCCTATATATAATTAATTTAATAACTAAATCCATGCACGTATTATGAATTCCAATAAATTAGTATAATATTTGATATTGGTATGAACATTTGACATATACTGAAAGTAAACAACTACCTAGAAAAAATAATGCATACCCAACAAATAATTATATATATATATATGTGTATATGCATACCCAAAAATCTATAATATTATGTGTATATTTGATCGTTTTGGATCTGACAAAAAATATTATTGAAAAAAAAAATCGGACATAGACTTTGATCATGCTGTAAAAAAATGATGAATATTTTATGTTAGATTATTTTAGTTTTGGGAGACCTTTAGGATCATTTTTTATTTATTAGTTTCTAAGCTATAATGTTATTGCAATTAATCAGATCAATAAATAGTACAATCTAAATTATTCCAAAAATATTATTAATTAATTGACGATGTCGTGCTATATAAACATTCATTCTCTATAAAATGGAAATAACATGATATTATTTAAAAAATTATATTTTGAGAATGATCACTCACTAGTTTGAGTTTTTGCAGTGATAAACTTGTTTGAACATTGATGTGCGCATGAGGATGTCTATCAAGGAGCCGCAGCAGAGCAAATATATTAGGGTTTCACTTTTTTTATTATTATTATTGATATATACCATATAAATTCTGAATTGTTTTGGACCGATTCAATGTGGTGGGGCCATCCGTGTTATTAAATTGGGCATTATATGTGGATGTACCGCGACAATGCAATATACAGTCTATACACAGAGGAAAAAGAAAACGTGAAAGGGTATGAAAGTAATAATAATAAAAAATTCAATTGTAAAGAAACGATTATAATATATATAAGGACTTGAAAGAAAGATAGAAGCCTCGGCATCAAAATAGAAGGTGTGGTAATGGCAACAACATGCTCCAACTGTCATTTGCCCCCCCAGGGTCTTGGACTCTTCTTAGATTTTATAATATGAATGTTTGTGCAACATTCTATTTTTCTACTTATATTAAAGAAAACTTTATTGCATCTTGAATATTTTATAAGTATGAAACCTTTGGTATCCAATTCTATACTCTCAATATATATATGTATACTTATATTACGATGCATAGTTGAATAAATCTTCAATGGTAGTCTAATCTAATGCACTTTTTCACGAGTTTTATTTTGTATGAAACTTATATATTATTGGATTAAAATAAAATAAAACGAAATTATTGCATACGCATATTGTTTTGGTTTCTCTTTTTCGACAATATCGTCATTATACGTTTTTTATTTACTAAGTTTTGATATAATATGACTCCTCCACGTTAACATTCATTCATAGCTAGACGGTTTCTTTGTCATTTGCAATAGTTTACATACATTCTCTTAGAATCAAATCAAAACACAGCTCGTAATAAAGTTATGTATGTATGTATGTATGTATGTATGTATGTATGTATGTATGTATGTATGTATGTATGTATGTATGTATGTATGTATGTATGTATGTATGTATGTATGTATGTATGTATGTATGTATGTATGTATGTATGTATGTATGTATGTATGTATGTATGTATGTATGTATGTATGTATGTATGTATGTATGTATGTATGTATGTATGTATGTATGTATGTATGTATGTATGTATGTAATCAGTGGGATATTTGAGATGCATATATATATATAGATATAGATATAGATATATAATATATATTATTATACAAATTGGAGAAGGTGGGGTCCTATTGTATGGGAAGGGGGACGCAGGGGAATCATCATCCAGGTTGTTCACTTCAAGCGGAACATCCAATGGAATGGATGCTGATTGCGTTGTAGAAATTATACAGTATGCCCCTTTTCTAATGAAAAATAAATAAATTCCTAAGCTATTCTTTAGTATATTATATAAACATATCATATCTTTAAAACCATATGTACATGCATGCAATAAATACATGTACGTATATGATTTACATATATATAGATAGAAGGGAATTTGACAGTCTCTATTAAACATTCATTCACCGCCCCCACAACTCACCCCATTCCCAAAATATATTCGTATGTATATCTTGGGACGGTGTATGTATGTATGTATGTATGTATACACACGTACCATATCATAGCAGAATCCTTGCATTATTTAAAAGGCATAATCGGATGAATTGTTATGAATTTATTTAAATGACTAATTTTTTTTTCTTTCTCTCTCAATAAATACTAAAATTCGCGTGATTCATTATCAAACCTAATATACAGATTTGATCGGGGAGAGGATATGTTCGAAGATAAATAAATAAATAAATCAATGCAAAGATTGATGAAATTAATTAGTGAGCGTTGAGTTTGAAAAATATAAAAAATAAATAAATGAAAAGAAAAAGGGGGGAAGGTGTGGTCCAAATGCAAATAAAGACAAACTATGAAGCTCCAAAGCTCCCTCTATGCCCTCTTCCCTTCTGTCCCTTTCTCCTATATATATATATATATATATATCATTCAACACATTTGGTTGGAACAATGGCCTTAAACTTTGAGTTTACCTTAAATCATATTTTGTCTAATTTTTTCTGTATCATTCTGTTGTCAAAACACATTTATATAATGGTGGAGAAAAGCCCAATTTTGATGGGCCTTTGGATCAACTTGAAGCCCAAAAAGTGGCATGTGTGTTCATCTTGATAAACCAATGGTTACATATTAACCGTATTGCTCACAAATACAAAGAAGCAATTTAACAAAAGAAAAAAGGGTTAGCTAAAGCCAGAGGTGTCAATCGGGCCGGTCCAATCCGAATACATACTCGGTCCGAAGGTTTTTGGTTCAAGTTCGGACCGACCGTTTTTTTTCGAATCTATGTAACCAAATCCAAAGTTCAATCTTATAAATCTCGGACTTAGATCGTACCTAAATTCTTTTATACTTTTTTTTTTTATTAATTTTTTTGAAAAAAATATCAAACTTTAGGATCAATCCAAATCGGGTCCGATGTCCGAATTAAACCCGTCTTGAAAAACCGATTTTTTTCGGACCGAAAAACTTGACACGAAAATCAATATTTTTCGGGTGAATTCGGATCTGGTTTTGTGTCTGGAACCTAAATTGACACCCCAGCCAAAGCCATGAGTGTATATATATATATATATATATATATATATATATATATATAT